TAGCTCCAAGCCTTTATTTATAATTATTTCCCTTTACAAAAGTCGTTTAAGGTCCAATCAAGTGATGATGGCAAGAACTTTTTTTTAGAGAAAAAACACAAAAAATGTAGGTAGTAATTGTGTGGCACAACCTTATCAAGTTCATTAACTTATTTAAGTCTGTGTTATCACTACGCGTGGTCTGTGAGGTGTGTGTACCTTTAGCCCATCTCATGAAGCAGAGTTTATGTGGTCTAAAGCTGTGCCAAAGGTCATTTCCTGTGCAGGATGCAAATTATTTAGAAAAATCATCGATATGATCTCTATGGGCTAAAGTGTGCCAATGAGTTACGCTGCTAGTTAAGAACGTTCATCACACAGAGCGTTTTCTGCATGATCTTCCTGAAATTTCAAGAGGATGCTCGTAAAGATGTGAGAAAGTCACTTGTAAAATTTGAGATCGTTTTACCGCACCGTTTTTTTAGTATTGAATGTTGAAAAACTTCAATTTAACTCGTAACCTTATGGGGGAGTCACATAAAAATGGAATTTTTAAGAAAATGGTATGTAGAATTTTTCTAATTTTTTTTTGCATGATGCAATACCATAATACTGGTCTTATTCTCAATTTTTAGAGAGATCGACAAGTTACTTTTGCAATTGAATAAAAAAAATTGTGTGAGACGCCTACATATAGGTATACAACTGCATTTAAAACACTTGCAGGCGCTGCCGCATTCTCGCTCCCCTCTCTCTGCACTCTCTGCATTTTCCCTCTCACTGTGATGAACGTCCTTAAAAGCACAAATGTCTTAAGAGTGCTTCGAAAAATCCCCCATTTGCTACTGCAGTCATATTCTCTGCAATCTCACATCCTCTGGGTAAGTTCGTACTTCATCTATTCCCTTTTCTGTAGCTTCGACAGCGGATAATCAGATAAGTAGAAGCAATCGACTCGACAGACACAAATTGTCAGCTACGGTCTCGGCATAGAATCGTCAACAGAAGACGATAAATCACGTGTGTATTAATCAGAGGCTACTTGGTTAGATGGCTTAACCCACCCAAGCCTTGCTCTCCAAAAAAATTCAAGTTTTATGATATGGTACTTCAGTTTTCTACAATGCTATTCTGTTGCTCTTATAAACCCGTCCTGATTCTGATAAAGTGGCAGAAGTAGCACTGGCGGTTGCATTCACTGAAGCATTCTCAGTAGCCATTTCCATCAGCTAATCACAGCCACTTATTCAATAAGTACATGCTTACTGAAGTGGCGACAAACGCTGAGATCATGTGGTGTTTGTAATGTACAACAAGGATCCATTCAAATTGAATGCCACTGCAGATGGTGCTTACATTTTTTCCCTTACATTTACTGACTGTAAGTTTACAAAGAAAATTCAGCTCCATAAGATAAAGTTGGTTAAATTATAATTTATGGATTAGCTCCTTGTATTCTTAGGGAAGTTTTGGACATGTTGGAAGTGTGCAGTCACGTTGCAGTAGGGTTCGATGAGACATCAAATAAAGTGCCCAAAAAGAAGCAAATGGACCTTGTTGTACGATACTAGGATCCTGCAACAGATTTAATTAGTACCCGTTGCCTGACATCAGTTTTTCTTCGATATGCTGTGGTCTTAGATATGAGATCTGGCAAGAAATGCTTTCAATCCTTCAATTGAAAACAAACTGCTCCATATATATTAATGGATGGACCCTAAGTAAATATTGAAATACTCAAGGAGTACCAGAAAAAACTAAGACTACGTCCTCCAAAGTTTCTCCTATACCATTCTGTTTTACTTGTTATGTGGAGAATGATAAGGCTGAATGAAGGGCTATCGCCATGTTGCCTTACTTGAATACGCTGGTTAAGCAGGTCCGTAGTGAAGAAAATAGTAAGGTTTTAAATAAAGGGTTCACGAATTTCGATAGAGTGGCCACTGCACTATATAATAAGCTCCTGGGTGCAAAACTGGAGTTTTTTGTTCCTACAGCTCAAGTTATTAACCCTTTCTACCAAATAACAGTTAAACAGTCCATTGGCTCCATTGTTGTTCCGGGAACTGTAATCACTCAGTATTGAATTAATCGAGTACGTGGTGAAAAAAAGAGTCTTACAGGAACGTACTAGGAGAATTAAGGTTGATCTCAAGGAGTCTAATCTTATTCGTGTGAAGGATTTTGATCTAGGCTTTAGAACGAAAGCAGCGATAAGGGACGCAAATAAATTTAAAAAGTTGGGTTACTAAGAAATGATAAGATTTCTCACAAGCTGCCGTAAGATTAACGTCAAAATTATTCAAAAAATACAAGAGCGTTCAACTATTATTTATAAGATGACTCGCACTGCATCGTGCCTCGACTTTATTGTCGCTGCCAATACTAGTACATAAAAGAGTTGAATCTGCCCTCGATATTTTTTGTACTCAAGAGAACTGACTTTCAGGTGCTAAAGCCAATCGAATTAAGAGGAGCTGATGTGCCCTTTTGAAAGAGCCTTACGTTGTGAAGAATTTAAGAGTTCAACACGAATAATAAGTGCATTGATGAACTTTGGTCTGCTCTGATAGCATCAGTACAGACTATCCCAGCCAAAAAAGATCTCCTTGATTTCGTAAAGATGCTATTAATTTTATTACATGGTAATGCTGCACTTTTTTTCTTGAAGTAATGATTGTGAATCATAAAAATAGTTACCCTGCAGCATATTGCATAGTCTAGGACGTGATAGATACTGCTGACAGCGTTAATAAGGTAAATGTGATCAAGTCTATGATTTTTGCTGCACGGAATACCAAAGCGAAGTACACGGAGGCTATCGTAGCACGGAGTGAGAAGGAGAAAAGGACAGCCACTTGAGTGGCAGCCAAACGGAACGCTACGAAAGAAATCAAAGAATTGGCTGTCAGGAAAGCCAAGTTCATGGAAGGTGCTTGCCAAAAGAGCTTTTAAGTCGATGAGCGCATTTATGTCTTGAAGAAGCAATAGGAATACCATTGGAAAATTTTAGACTTAAATTCATCATCTTATTTTAGTCATAGATCTAGTTTTGTTGAAACATAAGTGACACGTTTATTATAATAAATATAACACGTTTATAATGATAAAATTTAGTATTTAGTCTAGATTTCCTTACGGTGTTATATATAATCTGATAAAAAATTTTTTAAACTAGTTTCCACGTAGGTAACCTTTTTATCCTAAAACCGAACAAAAATTTTAATTGAGAAAAAGCGCTTTAAGCATTCATACACTGAAGTGTGTGTGTGTGTGTGTGTGTGTGTGTGTGTGTGTGTGTGTGTGTGTGTGTGTGTGTGTAAAATAACCCTAGACAACTTTGAATTAACTTTGTCGATGGCGTCCAAATATACGGGAATTTTGCCCATCTTTATCCAAAAAAATATAGGTGATTTATTGAGCCCTATCTTTGTAGAGATATTCATGGACGACTTGGAAATACTCAAACATAAAAGTCAACTATTTAATAAATTTATGTTTTGGTATAGGTACGTTTATGACCTGTTTGCAGGCTTTACGGGAATCAAAAAGACAGCTATATTCAGTTATGAACTATAATCCATACATAGCTTTACGATGAAATTCAAATCAAAAAACAGTGTTCAATTTTTGGTCTTGTCCGTGAAAAAGCCAACAATGAATTAGAATTGAGGTTCATCTAATTCACGTACGAAAGATCTTAATAGTGCATACATTAACATGTTTCACACTTTAAATTACGTAAATCGTTTAATAGAATTTAATTATTGTTTTAATAATGAGATAAAAGTTTACATGAGCTACAAAAAAAAGAAAAAACTAGATGTCTTGAAAAAAATTGAAATGAAAAATTAAAAGTTAAGCTATTCAATTGTCAACTAAATTTGAATAGTTACCGTTACTGAATTTGAAATAGCTGTAGATATGTAAAATTCTGTATGTATTGGTATACTGTTTGTTGTTATATTCTATTTATACTTTTATGTATATGTATTTGTCTACTGATGATACTGATTAGCGAGAATTTCGTATTGATTTATCAGTTGCCATTAGCAGTTTATCTGAAGAAGGTACAATGTACTAAAACAGCTGTAATAAATGAAGAAAACTTTCATAAAAATGCAATTATACTTGCATTTCGAGTTTCACGACCCAAAGTATATGATGATTTTTTTATTAATTAAACATTAATACAATAAACTATTACAAAAAATTAAAATCAATTGTACCTGCCGAGCACATAGTATATAACCTAATTTAAAACAGATGAAATCGAATTTTCATCTTAATGAGCTATTTATAAGCAGTATATTCGCCCTTGTACTTACTGGCAATTAATGGCTGAAATTTACTACATATGTAACTGTAGCACCCTAAAACTGAACCATAACGTCAATGTAAGAGGTACGTACGTTGACTTCAAGGCAAAATAGATGACCTGTTATTTGCGCCATGCGATATCTTTCCAATCGGGGGATAGTGTTCTCAAACCTACTTATTATACGTTTCGCCAAATCACTGGTAGAATTTTGCGCTTTGGTACGACGTAGTTGATTTACAAGTTATTAAAGATAGATTTCTCACCACTGCGCCAAGACCAACTTGAGCAACGGTCTAGTGCGGCGTTGTTAAATGTAACAGTAGATTAGCTATCTTCTCTACTTACTTTACTAAAATTATACTTACATTTTTAATATGTTTTCCATTTTTTTACAATTTCATTTAAATTCAACACCTATTGGACAAAGAAAAACATAGAACTAAACAAAAAATTTAATCACTAATTTAATGTAGTATAGTCAGTGTCCAGATTAACTTTCTTATTAAAAAGAGTTCAAAAAAATCCACAATAAATATATAAGCAATCAAACCCACTATTTTAACTATCACGCTTATCACTGAGCTATATGCCATTCAATCCATGAGTAGTAAAATGATTAACATTAGATACAAATTTCATATAATTGTTAATTATATCTTTGAAATACTTTTACATAGTGGTCTTATTTATCATTTTTCAGATCTGGATCCAAATTGACTAGTTCTAAAGATTCTGGCCGTGGTGATTCTACTCCTGATCACGGTAAGTTTTTTTTTTGATTGCTTACATCATTTACAAGTTTTTCGAAATATTGTCTTCTCTAAGAATGTAGATGTAGAATCATGAACCTTGCTAAAAAAAAACACACCAGCGCATTATGTAATCTGGTGGCTAGAACCATCTAAATAAACATTTTATTATGCTTCGAGTTTTAGTCTGCGTAACGCTCTTTTAGTGACAACTCATAGCTTATGTATGAATTTATTGTAATGGGCCTTAATTTATTATTGTTACAAAGAAAATAATATTGAAATGGTAGTCAATAATACAAGTCAACATTTTAGGTGACTACAGGTGTGCAACGTTTCGTTAGCTCTTATTTCTGTATTCCTAAGATATCAGATACATTGTCTCTGTCTCTTTCCTAACTATACCTTACATATTGATACTGTCTATATTTTCAAATTTTTTACTGTTTACTGTTATCTTTACAAATCCTGCGAAAACTCTTGATTGGATGGGCCTAAGTGTAAAAAAATAAAATGAAATACGTGGCATAATTTTTTCGCTTTGATCAAATTCCTTTGCAGAAATTGGTTCATTCATGTGCGTATAACAGTGTCACAAATCGAATAAATAATCCAACCCTGAGTTTAATTGACTCATCAACAATAAAGTAAAAAAATTAGGTTTTTTCAGTTTTTTCGTGATACCTCCTCTCCGATGCAGAAATTAGTATATACTTAGATTCGTTTACTACACTATAAGTTCGTTTCTTTTTTTTTCAACATTTTATTACTAAAAAATGAAATTATCAGCAAGCTTTTTTAGAAAATATTGCAACCAGTGAGTCAAATAACTCTACCGAATTCGGAGACGATCGCTTTCTAACTTTTTGAGTTTTAAGAAATCAAATTTTTTTCAACAATTAATTGTATGATAAATAAAAGTTTCTGCGATCGTCCAATTAAAATCTTACTGGTCTCGAAAGTTAACAGAAGCATCCCATTAGAATTATAAAAAAAAAAAAAAAATTAGATACGACCGATTTTATATCGACTTGTTCTACAATCATAGTTTTTTAAATACTTTTAAAAGAACAAAACTTTTTTATTTCTTCAAATAGTGTTTTCGCTTGTTTGCTGCAAAAAAGCTGCTATTCTGCTTTCAAATTGAAAAAAAGTATTGTAGCATGATTAGAAGTCAATGTTTGGTACATCACGTCTCTAGGGCAGAAAGTACAAACATGAGCACCTAATGGGCGTGATTATTACATGTTTGTATCCAAAACGCGTATATTGCTTTTCTTACCGAGAGCAAAATGGTATATTTTTTCCCTAGGGCAGAAAGTACAACTTGTGTGCGCTAAGAGCGTAGTTGCTGTATATTTGTGCATGATGTGAGAACGATATATTTTGTATCAAGGGCGCTAACTGCAATTTCCCGTCCGTACGCACACTTTGTGCCCAGTCAATTACTTTGAGCCCTAGGGCATAAAAGTATTTTAAGCTTGGAAAGTACTGCTTAAGTCGGCCTAAAGTGATAACAGGGACGCAAACTTACGAAATACGCAAACTTACATATTAATATCTGAAACTTTAGCTATCGAATCGGTGTTAATAATACTTCTAGTATGATTTCTATTGCAAGGCTTAATTTCTGTACATAACTTTATTGTATAGAAAGACGTGTTCTTGTTTAGTTTTACAAATTTCAAGTTTTTATTTGTTTACTGATAACTTTTCTTTGCAGAGATTTGCTGTAACCTGTTATTATACTTTTTTGTTTTTGTCTGTACCTTTGTATTATAGTAGTAACTTACTATTTATATAAATATTGCACTTTTGCTTGTCCGCTCTGTGAGATAGCTGAACAATATTATAATTTCAATATTGCTTGAATTAATTACAGTTTTGCTTATTACTGAATAAAAAAGCTGAGTGTTTATTATTTTCTTCTCTACGTCCTGATCTTTGATTTGACCTAAGTGGCTCTGCTTATCCTCCGTCGTCTTCATTTAGCATGCATTCCTCTCCATGTCTCACACGTGGGTTGGTTTATCAACTAATTCCACCGAATTTTTTCATGCTGCAGTAACGGTCTTAAGGTTAAAATAAAAAATTATTTAGCACTATTTTTTGTCTGTTAAATATCGTTAAAACATAGCTATTTCAAAGCATTCGTGTTCAGTCGGTTGAAATTCAAGAAAGCCCTAGAGTAGCGGGAGAGTTGTTGGACTAGCGTGGTGGCTTGAAGAGCGTAGCTTAGTAGCAACCTAACAAAGGACCTAAAAACCAGTTAGGCCACAAAATTTTTATATATTTTAGCTTTTGCTCTACCTAGAAGTTTTTTTAAAGAATGTAGGGTAGCTGGACGAGATAAAACAAATTATTATATATTTGATTTACGTTTTACGTTGGCATTGTTAATAATGCACTATAAAATACCTTAATTTTGCTCACTGAATTATTAATCAATATCCAACTCATAGGTTAGTGTTTTTCAATATCTTTGTATTTTTCACAAATTTTCGTCTATGTAAATTTTGAAATTGAGGTTATGTCTCATAAAAGCCTATGATAATTACGTGATTTTTATTTGTGTAATTCTTTTAAAAATAATGTTCATTATTGCAGGAGCGGTGTTACCTCAGTGATAAGCGTGCTTGTTACTGATACAACACCGTTCGAGAGAGCGTGGGTTCTATTCTCGATGAGTGCAGATTTCTGCTCCAAAATACGCCATATCTTAAAAACGAAACAAGATGGAGCAAAAATAAAGAGTTTAACGGGTTTTCTTAAGGGAATAAAAATATTGTAACGCTAAAAACAGAAGTGTTGAGTTATAAAAAAACATTACCTCAATTTTTGATGTTTTCGATGTACCATCATAAAATAAAGAGAGAAAATCTCGGGAAAAATTATATTATGTTGAGTACAGGATAATAATAATCCAGAAATGATTTTCCATAGTCATGCGTGCCTATAACCTTCAAGTATTAAAAATATGCCTTATCTCTAAAAGGAAGCAAGATATAAAAAAAGTAACAATTCTTTCAGGTTTTCCTAAAAGGTTAAAACATCGTGGCACACTAAAAAGAAGTATTCAATTATGTGACGACATAACCTCATACATCAGTATTATTAATATTTTCCTATAAAATCAAGGTGGAAAATTTGTGGAAAAATTATAGTATATTTTCAAAATTATTACAAATATGTAGGATATATTTCTCAGTTTTGGCTAAACAATAACCTTAAAAATTATTTCAAAAAGTTTCCGAGCCTTCCATACATTACAAATGTACACGGAAGACATAAATATACCACCGTAATATAATTTAATTTTATAATATTGCATACTCTCTAACTATTACAACGTACGCCATATCTTTAAAAGGAAGTAAGATAGACCGAAAATAACAAGTTTTACTGGTTTTCTAAAGGTAAAAAAAACATCGTGGCTCACAAAAAAAGAGTTGTTGTGTTAAGTTAAGACATAACCTCAAATTTTAGTATTAATGTTTTTCTATAAAATCGAAGTGAAAAATTCGTAAAAAAATTATAGCATATTTCCGAAATTATTACAAATATGTATATATATCTCGTTCTTCTTTTCTAACAATAACCTCAAAAATTATTTTAAAAAGTTTCTGAGCCTTGCATACATGACAAATGTACACAAAAAAAACATAAATATACCGCTGTTACTGGCGAAAAAAATACATATTAAACTCACATGTATTTACAAACCTTGTATTTTACAGTTTACATGTGATTTCTACATACATGCGTGAACTTTGTTCTTACCGGGGGACAGTGAGTACCACACTCTGGTTTCAATTTGTAGCAAAGTAGCATGTATTCAGCTCTAAATAAGTAGAAGCTTTATTTTTTAAAGCAAAAAGTTGTATAGTTTCAAACATATAAAAAAAAAAATATGATTCTTAATCAATTCGTTATAAAATTAGTTGTATCAAATTTGTATATAATATTCTAACAGGGTATTACGTATAAGTAGTTTTCTTTAATTTTTGAGACCTGTATCTCTTCAGGGTCTAAATCTGAAAATAACAGAAACTTTCATGCATTGTTCAAATAATCATTGAAAAAAAAATTGATCGCTAAGAAGTAACAAAATAAAAAATTTATCGTCTTAAAATTTGGTTCACATTTTGATATTAGTGACATCATGATACCTCATCAAAAATACCTTAACTTGTCTTATTTCATAAGTTATTATACATTCTTTATGAATTTAATATTGACGGTATCTACTAATTTATTCACCGGATAGAACAAATTACGAAAGAACTAAAAAAATTCTTACTTATTTTGTAATATAAATAAAGTTAAGAATCTGATTATTTATTAAACTTTTAATCTTGTTCCATGAAATACTCATATTTTCGTATTCGAGAAATTCCCCATCTCTTACTCAGGTTGTCATAACATTAAAAGAACAGGAAAAAAATCAGGGATAAAAAATGAAAAGCTTGCTGAGAAAAACAAATAAAACAGAGAATTTATTCGATTAAATGAAAATACAAAAAAAATACGCGTAATCTTAGTGTTGGCCAATGCTCTTAAATTCCTTTGTTTATCTTTGTGCCCTCCCAGTACTTTTCTTCTTATATTTCTTTTAATTTTGTTATCATCGTTGCAGTTTCGAAATCTTGCCCCATTAGTTTCATATTCTGATCTTCTTTCATTATTATACCTACTCTAATCGTTCTTTTGACTAACTTTTTTCCTACGTTTTCAGTACCACTATGATGCCTTATTCTTTTATAACCCTGTCGAATGATTTCTTTACGTAGTTAAACCACATGCTTGAGTTCTGGTTTTCCTCATCTCTTCATTCACTGCTTCTAGTCTTTTACTCTTAAAGTTCCATTTCTCTTATTTTCGAGTTCCCTCCCCTTATATAAATCATAACTGTCTCGCTTGAAGTTGTTTATTATACTCTGTAACTCGTTGTTTCATTTTTTAGACAAAAAATATTTTTTCCTCCTTATACTGTACCCCCCCCCCACCCCCGCT